TTTTTCTCTGTTCATTGAACAATTCATTTTCTTCACTGACCTGTTTAACCAGAGGAGAACAAAATTTGATCCATACTGTAAACCAAGAGGGATTGTTACAATGATTTCAGGTAAGTTTAATTATTTTGCATTTCTTCTTGTTTTACACTTGATGAGGTATCAGACCTACAATGTACACAAACATACGAAAAACAATCTCCCAAACCCAGAGCTCAAATTATATGAAAAAAGTCAATCATAATTAGTACTCTGCAATCATTTCTTTCTACTATGCTGTGGTACCCTGTGTTTCTAGAAGTATTCCATGATTCTCCACTTTTCTCACAAGGCTTTACAACAAGTATCAACATCATCCCAAGTAAACCTAATCAATTTTAGTTTGAGTTTGAATTGTTCTATTATAATCCTTTATTATTGTGACATTCCTCAGTTTTTTGTGACTTCATTTCTCCCTGACATTATACCCACAGAAAAAGCTCAGCCAGGAATATTTAAGTTGTCTTTCAGAAGCATTCAAAGGCTAAATCTTACCTGTTGATGAAGGTGAATCATGTTTGGACAAATGCACGGTTATTTAATTTAATTGTGAACAATTTAACTGATTATTGATCAGAAGTCTGAGGTAGTTTTCAAAGTGTTTTTCAAGATCTTTACTTGCTTCTTGAGGCTGGTCATTATGTAGAACATTCTCATAAGCTCCCTGCAACTGATAGTGACCGATACATGTATAGTATCGGTGGCAGATCTAGGGGAGGGGCCTGGGGGGCCTGAGCCCCCTTATTTTGGGTAAAAAAAAAAACAAATCACAGGAGGAGGAAAAGTCAGCAGGTGTCCACACACAAATAAACCAGGCTCCCCTTCTTCCTTAGCTCAAGGTCTGGATCTGCTACTGGGTAATATAATATAGATTGGAAAAACAAGATAATAATATTATTTGCACATTTTCATGAAATCCTATAACAAACAAATTATTCCAGTTTTCAAGTATAATATGCACCAGACCTTGGTTTGTAATGTAAAAAGGTGCTCAGGAACAGTTATGAACATGAAATTAGCTTCAGATTCAAGGATTTAAGATTCTTTCCTGCTAAGATGTTTCAGAAAAAACTTTAAATCAAACTCTGACAGTCCATCT